CATTTCTAATACTCCTCTTGGTGGACTCTATACATATGTATTGATTATAACTGGAGTTATTAAAAGTCAAGAACAGCAATTACAACAATATTATGCCTCATTGCTGATCAATCTTATAGCATCGATATATTATGCAATACGTTTTGAGTTGATTAAAGTATTTTAAAGAGATATTTTTTGATTGTTTTTAGGCAAGTTTTTATACATTTTTGATTTCATCCAGTCGTTTTCGTCAAACTGTAAAAGAACGCTTATTTCGATGGCGATCTTCAAATCAAGTTCATCCACCCCGAACTTAATGATATGAATATCATTATTAGAGTAAAATCAACATTTTTTTACCAAAATTCTCATTTTATTCGATATTTTTATCTCAAAATATGATCTTTAAATAAATGTAAATGTTGTAACGTCAGTATAAATAAAAAACAAATGAATATTTCATTGCAAAAAGAATAGTATGAGTTTGAGTGATCAATCTCTCGCATTCATCATTACTCGTGTCTGAACTAGAAATATAAAACAACGACTTATGGAAAGTTTAAAATGGATTAGTCAATGTCTACATGTCAATATTAATACTATATTGACGTCATGTTCACTCTGCACTTTTCATCCTCAAGATATTAATAGTAATGCCGTCAAATTAATGACGAAGCCTTTTCTTTATAAATATTATAAAGTGAGTAATTTCTGATCACTATTAATATCGTATAAAAAAATTGAAGAATTTTTTCTTTCAATTTTATTTTACACTTATCATCATCTGTTTTATTTCACATAAAATTATTGATATTGGATGCTACGAAAAAACTTTCCTTTTTTCATTTAAATAAACAAAACTCATGTACAAAATAAATTTAATACCCATAAATTTCCTATCATTTTTGGAATTGTTGCACTATGTAATGCAGCTAATTTTTGTGTTGCAGCAATTCTAATTGGATCTGTTGTTTTAAAAGCAGCAATAATAATCGCGGTTGTTGATATATCAACACCAATGAATGTAATACGAAAATGATATTTTGGTGGAGTAGTAAAAAATGACATTAAAATTAGAAGAGCAAAAGGTAAACCCAATACTCTGAGAATACTTGTAATTGTAATTATATTTTTAACCATTTTCAATTCGCGTTCTGCACGAGATATAACATTAGTTGATCTTACTCTTTTATTTATTTCACGAACATATCGAACTAATTTTGAATAAACAATATTTATAAACATATTTGGAATTATATAAAGAATAATTTTACATAAATAATACCAAATGATACTCCTTAAGGTGGATGACATATGTAATTAATGACATTATATGATATTTGACCAATTAATATCACTGGAAGAAATATTGTTAAACCAAATATCCATATTATTATAATAAGAAAGATTTGAAAACGAAATGCTTGTCAAAAAAGATGAGTTGGATAAACGACAGTAACATATCGATAGATTGCTTGAAGTGCATATGAATAATTCTGTACAATAGTGACACTAGATAATAAATAATCACGAAAAACACACAGTAAGTATTCATATATAATTTGCTTAATATCATTTTGTAACACAAATGTTGCCATACTTAATAAAATACATGCACAAATTAATTCACCGAGACATGCATTCACAATTAATAACATTGGTACTGTTCGACATGTTTTGTTAGAAGCAATTAGATATAATAAAATACAAGAAATACCAATTGTAATCGAGTTACATATAATTCTTAATAACTCTCGTTCCTAGTAACGCATAGATTTCAAACAATAACAGATCATTAACATTATATATGGGCTACAACTAGTAAAAAAATCACATTTTTCTCATAACTGACTAAAGCTACATAAATAAATAAATATTGAGGTACCAGGCCGATTGGTCACGCTCCTATATATCTAGTATTCCATTGAAAACCGATCACTGTTTATTTTCTATCTTTCCTAATACAATCTTGACCGTTTTCTTCTCTCATTTTCATCGAAAGATGGCCATTCAGTTTTCTACAAGAATATATCAGAGCATTTAATTTTGAATGCCAGTACGAAGCGTTGACTTGAGAAGCTCCAACATGTCCAACCTTCTAAATTATCTTTTTGTCAAGAATTTAGGTTGTTTTGCTAGAGAAAGTTGAACATTTCAATTCAAACTCGAGATTATGAAATGAATAGAAAAACTTTATTCTAAGACACAAAAACAATAAAACCGAGTTACAGAAGACAAAGAAAAATGAAACATGACTTGACAAGAATATTTCTTGAAATCTATAGAAGTTTATGACTAAATACAAAAACAATCAAAAAGTCAAATTTACTCTTCAACGACTAAATCCAATAAATTCACATCGTCTAATCCTCTCAATTCAGCCCATATCTGTTGTGCACACTCATAGATCATATTCTTTCGCTTCAATCTTTCTAGACGTTGTACTTCTGCTAAAGTTTGTTTTATCTTCAAATATTTCCCATCATGATGGCCTATTCGTTTTGGCAAATGGTGACGCGGTCCAGAACTTCGTATAACTTCATACTGTGCTGGATAGTTCTCTTCAATCCATTCTTCAAGATGAGGTAAATCGTTAGATATTGAACAGAAATAGTAATTTGCGTGACTAACAAGAAAACCCGGAGCATTGGATTGGATTTTGTGTTTTTCAATAATCTGAACAACACGTTTATCGAATTGCTTTCTGTATCGCTCAACAGAATCTGGTGCTAAGAATAACCATCGAATAATATTCGATTGAATTGTTCGAAGTGTTGGTACCATAAAATATAGAAATCTATCATTCCAAACCCAATAGTCTGAGATGAGTATGCCGGATCGATCAATATCATGATTTAACCATTTTGTATTGATATTGACAGGTGTGATATGTTTAATGACATGATTATATCGACGATTAAGAAGAAAGAATGAATAATACCAGTCGTAAAGTGAAAGATATTCCAAAATCATATGCTGAATTTCGTCAGGAAGATCTTCAAGTGTTAACCGACGAGAAGACATCTAGAATGTGTACAAAGAAGATTAAATGAGTGAAAATTGACTCAAGCTCTGATTTGTTTTGAGAATAAACGTAAAAAAATGTATGTATGTATATATATATATATCTTTTTTACTGAATGTAAACCTGCGCACTTTCTTTCATTTCACTCTAAAAACTGAGATTGTGCAATACTACAGAGTAACATTTGGAGAAAGAAACCTGTATCTAATTCTTTTTAGACAGAACGAAAACAAAAATAAAGAATGAAAAGATAAGGATATTTGAGAAAAAAAAATATAAAACAGGCTATGACAGGATAACATGCTCAGTTTGACTCACACCTTGTGTGGACGAAGACTTGAAAAAATCTGGTCGTAAAATAAACATTCTGAAAAGCTTTTTTGTTTTGTGTATTTCTTGTATTTTTCGTTGCTATTGTCAATTATTTATTACTTTAGAAGAAAAACTCACATTTAGCATAGTTGAAAGTGATACAAAATCCAGAGGAATAAACTCAATCCATTTTATTAATCCTCGAAAGACAAGATGTTTTCGAGGTAGACTGTAAAATCTCGATTATAACGATTTGCCATTTTTAGTTTCCTTTTACAGAGCCTCTACAAGAGTTTGTTTATACTCCGCCTGTAATTTCAATACTTTTTAGAAAAAAAAGACATCAGGCTATCTCGGAATTAAAACTTTTTTAAACTGATACTTTGGAGAGAGAATATGCGACATTAGTGTTTAGACATTCTTTTCATGTCACTCAACTAGAAAAATAAAGTCCGGTCTAGTTTGAAAGCTTTTGTTTGCTTTCAATACTTCCTTGTTCAAAAATAGAATATGACGCAACACTAAAAGCAATCTATAAACAATGCAACAACACAGAGAATATAGAATATTTTCTTTTTATATATTAAGACATTCTCGTCCTATATGTAGTACTTAGGGCAATCCAAAAGTAGTGGTGCCATTACTTTATTTCAAATGTAATATCAGATAGTAAATTAAAATTCAAATAATAGCTCTGGCAAAAGTCGGCGCAAGAATGACATTGTTCACTAGTCATTATTTATTAATATATTACGCGAAGGCTTTTGGTCCTATTCGGGCAAAAGAAACTTCAGACAGTCTGAAAGGTCTGTAGTAAGATCATAGTAGCTTTAATGCTAGCTATAATATAGGTTCAAATCTCAAAAGTCGATTTTGTCGCCTCGCTATCCACGGTAATCAACACCGTTGACTGTACTTGCCATGTTTATGCAAAGTTCTTCATATAAGAAGATATTTGTTTTTAATAAACATGATATTAAACGTAATAAATGGTAGAGATATTTTGATATAGCACAAATATTAGGATCTAAACATAATTTTATTCTATGTGATCTAAATGTAACATCAATTATGGATGAAAATTTACAAAATTTTTGGGGATGTGAAGGTTCATTGACTATATCACCATATACAGAAGATATTATTTGGACGATTTTTAAATAACCGATTGTTTTTATAGAAGAACAATTTAAAAATTTGAGAGATAATATTTATTTTGAAGATTACCGTGGTCCTCAACCATTATATAATCGAACAGTTTATTGAAATATTTTTTAATAAAACATTATCATCAATACCGGATTATTAATCTGTATTTATTAGATACTTAAAATAAGAAAACTATGGAAATGTTTTCGATATTTGGTGTAGTAAATTATTCGACATATTCATTTTTCTTCTTTCTATTGATTGTTTATTTAATTTTACTATTTATTTTATTTGTATTTTTTTATAAAATACATTCTTCAATAGGAAGAAAAAAAAATTTCAATAATAAAACAAATCAATGAATTCAAAAACATTTCTAATCTAATTAATATTGCTTGTTTGACTTCTCTTGACTATGACACAAACAAAATATATTATTTTGTTTTTTATGTAGATCAACACTGAAGAAAAAACGAACATTATGTCTACGGGTTATTTTATCACCTTCATTATATGTAATCAAGATGAAAAAAAAAAGAAATTATTAAATATATTGCTTAAAATATTTAAATAAGAAGTAGAAGACTAGAGCCCTGCAGTTCCAAAAAAATTGGAACTGAGAACCGAACCGAAGACTGTATTTTTCTGTTTCTGTTACCCGGAACCGTTAACTCAATGACTCGGTATTTTATATGTTACGGTAAAATCGTCGGTTCGTTTCTCGGTTTCGAAAAATTCTAGGAACTGAAAAAGGACCCGTTTTGTTTTCGATTTCGGGAACCGGAACCGATGGTTCTGGTTCGCTTCTCGGGTAATGTTAGGAACCGCAGGGCACTAAAGGAGACCCACCTTAGCTTCCAGGCATTTTCGAACTTTTGTCAATTACATTTAATGTTACTCATGAGTAATGATTTATATTGCGTTTTTACAAATAAAAGAACGTGTTTTGACATTTTATTTCCCTCAAGAAAATTTTCACATCTTGAAGTACATAAATATGTTGCATATTTTTTTAAAATAAAATGAATATGATGTTACATCGAGTATTTTTCTTTATATCATTCTATCTCTACGTGACTTATGCCGATCATATTCACGAATGGGATTATGGTGAATTTGGACCTGATGTTTGGTATGAAAAATATCCTACATGTGGTGGTCGATTACAATCGCCAATTAATATTTTAACAGCATGTACAACATATAAAAGTTTTACACCATTTATATTTGAATCTGGTTATAATGAACAACACAGTTTTACACTTAAAAATAATGGACATACAATTGTTGGTACACTCAATAGTGAATCTAATTTATCAGGTTTGAAACTGGCAGGTGGTGATTTACCAGGTACATTGGAATTGGTAAATTTTCATTTACATTGGGGAGAAAATCATAAATCAGGTAGTGAACATGAAGTGTAAGTATATAAATTATAACTTTCCAATACTTTCTCTGATGAGGAAAGTTCTCAAACTGATAAAGTGCTTTTCAATCGAGACTAAGATGATGGAAAAAAGTTTAACAACAATGTATTTTTGATGTTTTGCTATAGTATTAAGCAATTAGCTCAAAGCCAGACAGTAATTTTAATAGTCAATGGAGTTTTCTATCGGATACATTGAATATCAAGGTTTCCAAAGAAACTATACACGATAATTTTCAGCTAAAAAATCATTTTGTTCTCTTTAAAATGGTTTTGTTAAAATAGGTTTATGGGATCTCAAAAATTACCACGTTCGGGTTTTTAGAAACCTTACCATCATAATTCATCCACAGAATCTCAGTATAGAATGCATTAGATAGAAAACTTCATTAGCTATTAAAATCACTATCTAGATTTGAACTAATTACTGAACATGACAAAAGCAATATCAAAAATACGTTTTTTAGTTAACTTTTTTCCATCGTCTTATATGAATTATGTAGATCTAAATGGACTATGAATACTCTGAAAAGAGCTCGTGCTCTTAGCTTACTGTCACAAAGACATGCTCCAATGAGAATAGTTTATTATGAATGTTTCAGATCTTTTGATTTGGTGCTATCCTAAAATAAGAACATTAAATTTGCCGGTTGATATGAGCGATGTAAAAGACAAGCTATTATCATAGTTGTGAAATTCGAAAACTAGTTTTTCTAATGTTCTTGAGGAGTATCACGACATTTTCATTTAAAACATACTATAAAAGTACAGTATCTCTGCATCAATAAGCTAAAGACATAAACTCTTTTCAGAATATTTATTGCTTATTTGGATCTACATAATGCACATAATTGTAACTCAAAAACGATTGTTTCAGTTGGAGAATTTCTCTCTTTATTTTTGTTTTTTTGTATATATAGAAATGGTATGAAGTATGCGGGTGAGATTCATTTTGTACATATAAATCCTAGTACAAATCAAACAGCTGTACTTAGTATATTTATGCAAAGTGCATTTTTTCAAAATGAAACAACAAATAATACAGTTCGTTTTTTGGATGAAGATACACGAAAAGAATGGAAAAGATATTTTGATATAGCACAAACATTAAAAATAGAAGATAATACAACTATAATATATTTAAATTTATCATTACTTATGGGTAAAAATTTACGAGATTTTTGGCGATATGAAGGTTCATTAACTACACCTCCATGTACAGAAGGTATTATTTGGACAATATTTAAAGAACCAATTATTTTTGTTGAAAGTGAATTTAAATCTTTTCGACAAAATATTTATTTTGAAGATTATCGTAGTCCACAACCATTATATGCTCGAAATATTTATCGAAATTTTTTTAATGAAACATCATCATCAATACCAGATTATAGTTGTTGTTCAAGAAAAGATCCAAATAAACCATCTGATATATTGAAATCTTCATTTGAAAAACTTTATTATTCAACATATTTAATTTATATCTTATTATTGTATTTTTTTTCTATTACATTTTAATTAAGTTTTATTTTAAGATAAAAGAAATATATTATTCAAATAAATAACGATATGACTAATAGAGTTATATTAAACAAAATTTTTATTTTGATAATTATTTTTCTATGATTTGAATTCTATAGATCTTTCTACATTATTTTGGGATCATTTGTTATTTATGTTAACATATCATAAAATAAATAATTTGATTCATTATTTATATTCTATAGTGTCAGTAACAATAGTGACGAGTTAAAGCTTGACATTTGTATTATTGATTATATACAACGAATAGTTATCTAAGAATTCAGATGCTTACTATTTTAATGGTAGGTTGTGATGAGAAAAGAACTAATCTCATTATTATTTTCGTTATATCTGTCGAAATCTGATTTAGAGCTGCTGATCTCCCAAACCAGGTCAAAGTTGTTGATCCGGTTCTAAAGTTTTGGAAATTAAATATTAACACATTGCTTTATTATTCGAGAGTATTTCGACAAATTTATTCGATTTCTGAAACAAGTATCTGAAAGAAACGTCAATATAATGTTGTAGGACTTATATTGATTGGCAGCAGAATTTGTTTAGATTCAAAATAATGGGACAGTAAATCTGGCATTTATGCTGTTGCGAAAATTGATTGTCAAATGCAGATGTCCTTGCCAGTTATTATTAGTATCACTAATTATCTACACTTTCATTGTATGTCTGGTCATTTGTTATTTTTGTTATCATAATTATATTTTTTTCAAAATATGGGGAATAGTAATTATATAATTAAGAAATATTGAGTTAATTCTAGTCTTTCTTATATGAAAAATATTTGTAATGATTGCCTTTTTGTTTTAATTGATTATTACATGTAAGAACTTGTTATTATCTTATCTTAATACAAATAAATTAAGTGAACAGCTGAAACTGGAATAAAACATTACTACAGAATTATAGAATTAAATGTGTTTGAAGAAATTGAAAACATCAATTGGTCTGGTTTAGCTTGTAGGCATTTCAAGCGAGAAAAAGGTGGCATGTTGGCAGCTCTGATTTGATCACCAGTATTATACTTATGATGTTAAGTGAAAATTATTGACAATGATGACTTTATTTAACTCTTTAATCTAAGAATTTTTAAAGTAGCAAGTACGAAGATATAAAATCTTGATATCAAATAACTAAACCATACTCTTAAACAAAGAATTGTTGATTAATTTATCGGAACAGAAATGGCACATTGATTTCTATTTTCGCTTCAATGAGAAATTTAAGACAACCATATTTCAATACATATATAATGCAAACATCAGGTGCAAAAAATGCAAATTTCGAGTAAAATTTTTTTTTTCGTCTTGTATGACTAGATAGAGCTCGACGAGCTGAGTAAAGATATGTATTTTATCATTTTGTTTGAAAGCTATTTGATTAAAAACTCGTTTGTTTTACTAAAGTGCGTTTTTCATGCTATATAACTGATACATTTTTTCATGGCATGCTGATTGTAAAACTCATATGTTCAGATTTGCCATGAAAAACTGAGTCTGTGAGAATAATTTAATAGCTATGAAATCATGAGAAAGATTTTCTAAGGATCTGTTACTTCCGGTAAATGTCAAGAAAATAAAAATAATGTTAGTTCATAATGTAGTTGCACCCACATATTCAAAAATTATTTTCGAAAACGAAAGAGTAGAAATTGTATCATCATTTAAATATTTAGGTGTTGAAATAAGAACTAAAATGAGATGGAGATTGTTTATTAAAACAAGATTATTTAAAATTTGAAATATATATAGTGCACTCAGAAAGATGTATCGAATAATTTTCTTAGAGAAATATTATATTAGAAAAAACGTATTCTGTGCTTTTGCACTACCACACTTTTCTGGTTATTTGTAACATGATTCCGTTGTCACACAAAAGCCAAAAACAAGAAATTGAACATGTATATTGTGCAGGAATATGTTTAATATATAATCTAGTGGGATGAAAAGACTACTTGTATGACTACTGAAAAAAGTTTATGAAAGATGTGAATGAGTGTCCTGAAGAAAACGGATATAGACGGACTTATAGAGTGTATGTGATTTGTAAAGCATCAGATAAAGGCTTCTTAAAGTCTATGAGCTTAAGAGAGAATAACTTTTTTATGAATCGTTTTATACAGAAGGCACATTATACAAACTTCAATATTTTTTCTTTCTTTTGTGTTCATGAATGCTA